CTGTGGACAGATCTAGAGCCGACAGCTTTGCCAGGCACTGCTATTTATGAGCTGTGTCTGTTAACACACAACCCAGGGGGGTGTGAGCAGTTTACAGTATGAACTATGAAATACACAAGTAGCTTTGGCAGTCTCAGAGGTGACATTCTCAAACAACTGCCTCTCAGAAGACCAATACACACATTCACTGCACAGTCTGATTCAGGGCTTCAGCTGGCATGTTAAAACACACCCAGCTTACGCTATTGCATAAGACACATCCTATCCGGATCAGCCGCCCCCAGGGAGCAGGACTGTGCACCTGACTGCACATTCCGCAGTTCCTGGAGCTGTAGCACAGCCTGGAAGGTGCTAAGGAAGAGACAAGGATCGGGAGGGTGGAGCAGAGGTGGCCCTGGCGCCGCTCTGTGGGAAGTGACATGATCCCAGAGGATGAGCAGCTGATGTCACCTGATGCTGTCCCCACCCTAAGCGAGTCTCTGACAGGGCTGTGGGTGACTGCAGGAGCAAAACTGGCAGCTGAGCCAGTGGGAGAGAACCAACCCTCATGGACACACACCCCCCCGTGGCCACCACCCAGACTGGCTATTCCAGACATGCATGGGATGCACACCAAGGGAGGAACAGAGAAAACAGGTTATGTTCATGCTGATTGCTCAAGTGTATTTTTGCTGGTAAAACTGTGGGGCTCTCAGCCCTCTCTTTTCCCTCTCCCTTACTCATGCAAACCTGACTTAAGACTGTCCTGTTCTTTGCCAAGTGCCCTCAGCAGCTCTCCCCACAGCTCTGCAAGCTGACAGACCCTACAGCACAGCAAGCACTTGGCTTCTCTATTCTCACCTCTCCAGGACAGCCTAAATCCCTCTTCCATAGTCCTCTGCCGTAGCAAGGGCTTCAACTACAGCCTTAAAGGCTGAAAATCAAAGGCTTCTCAAGGATCCGAGTTTTGGGAGTTTTCTATGACAGTAACAGAAATAAAGGTTGCCCTTTTGGCTGGTAGGGTTCTTGGTTTGGAAGGCAGGTGTCTGGTAGGGAGGGCAGGAGCCTCCCTTGGAATGAAAATGTCGACCCCTTCTCTCCGAATTACTGTAATTTTGAAATCAAGGGGCTCTCAGGCAGAGATCTGTGTGTAGGAATAACAGTTCTTTACTAGTGTGTATAACGAGGCACACAAACAACAATAACTCCAGCATTAGCAAGAAAACAGAACCAGGGACCCCAGGATCCCTTCTTGGCTGAGAAGGGAAGGGATGAAGGAGAGGCTTTGTTTCACAAACCCCCTCGGGAGGGCAGTCCCGGTGCTCCTGCAGGGCTCTGAGGAACACCCGGCTGGAACAGCAGGGATGAGCTGAGATCCTGGGCTGGTGGCTGAGGTGGATCAGCAGGGATGAGCTGAGATCCCAGTGCTGAGGTGGATCAGTAGCTCCGCGGCGGTGCCTGGCACTGGCAGGTCCTGGCAGGACAGGGGGTGTGAGGCTCACAAATGAAGAAGGAAGAAGGAGAAGCAGCAGCTCTGTCTGGGTGATGGCGAATTCCCTTCCCCAAGCCGCACAGCTCCGAGAGCATCTCCCTCTCCAGCCCAAGAAACCAGCCAGCCCCCAGCTGCCCCCACCTCCCCTCTGGGCCCAGCTGAACTCCCTGTGCTTCTCAAGCACCCACCAAGTACCAGCAGTCAGGTTTTCCCTGCAACTAATGGACAAAAAATTCCACAGGTGAGACGGAACAAAAGGAAGGACACCCAAGCCCCAACAACCAGTTTGTTAGTTTGAGGAACATGATGAGGTTTTAGCAAAGCCTTTTGTATCACAGGAATTAGGTCAGGTTCAGTAGGCGCCAAACATTTCAAGGCACATTCACTCGCAACAACGTTAGTGCGGAAATGATGTGAATATAAATTGTAACAACCATAACACAGAATCCAAAGTATTTACAATGAGATACAACCCACAGAACACTCACCAATTGGTATGCAAATTGGATAGATGTTGGGGACTGCAGAATAATCTGAGTTTGGATTTCAGAGTTCCTTCCTAGAGATAAGATTGAGCATCTGTCATCAATCTTCTACCTTGCCAAGTTGAGAACACATGAAAACACTTCAAGCATTGCTCTGCTCACATACATGCATCGTTTAACAACACACAACACACCTCTAGCACATCTAATCGCTCTCATTTTTACAGGGCCACACCTGACAGATAAACGGGTTTTGCTGCAGACCTCAGCTCCTGACAGTATTGCAGCTGGAGCCTCACAGGACCAAGACTGGAAAGGCAGTCAAAACACCTTCCTACCAAAGTTTCTCACTTCCTGAGGATAATTTCCTAACCTGTCTTCTTCCCACAATTTCTAGTTGTTCCATCTTCATTGATCTGAACTATTTGCTCCAGAAACAAGCAGCTCAGCAGTCACTGCCACCACCTCTGATACCTCAGGGTGTTCACCAGCACAGGTGGTGGCTCACGCCTGCTCCAGTTCCTGCAGATTTTCTGGAAGCCAGGCTGGTCAGCACAGGGTGTGAGCACTGCAAAATCCAGCCATTTGGCTCCAATTGAAAGAAATGCATAAATGTGGACATGGATGATGCCAGCTCCAGCCCTGGTGTCTCAAGCAAGATGGGAACAGTTCTGCCTCCCACTGCTGAGCTCTCAAAAACTCGGGGGCGGCAAGGTCTTCAGGGAAGGCAAATTCATAACCTGGGAGTGAGAGAAAGAGATTCTCTGTGCAGAAATATTTCTGCAACAGCAAATGTCTCCAACGTGGTTCAGATTCTGCAGAACATCCACACAAGTGGCATCTGGCAGCTGCAGACTCTTCCCAACTCTCATTCTGAGAACAGAGTTGCCAGAGAAGCTGATACTAATTATCTAAAACTGGGACTTGCATATTTCCCGTATTCTACTTCTGAAGCGCTGCATGACTGAGAGGTTTGCAACTGCCAAGACATGAAAGAGTGTTTGTTATTAACACATCACTATATAATCAGGGGCTTAGCAGGGGGCTGGGCATGCACATGAGTCTTCCTCTGCTGCTGACAGTGTAGATGGAAGTCCCCAGGTACCCTATTAGGTGACAAGTGAGAATGAGTACTGCAGCCAAAATGAAGCAATTTGGCACAATTTAGTAGAGAGATGGCACATTCTACTCGAAAAAGGCCCTGAATTGGAACAGCACAAGAAGTTTCCAATTGAGATTGAGCTGTGCTGGCCAAGCTGAGTGGGTGTCTCACAGAGCAGAGCAGCAGTGGGTGCTGAAGTCCAGGACTGAGATCTGCTGGCAGAGCTCAGATGGGGAATGTTGCCCAGTTTCTGAGAACAACACCAAGTCTGTATTCTAATTAGAGCTCCTCTGCTCATCTGCATGGCTCAGCAGAAACTTTGTGAATTTTCTAGGCCTTTATTAGGATCCATACAAAAAGCCTAAATTCACTTTTTTTCTCCTCCCCCGGTGAAGCCACAGTAGTAGGAACCACCCACCCCACATGTTCTGCCCCCATGGAATGCCACAGGTAGGCACTGATTTCATGTCCATGGAGTGATGTGTGGCTCTGGAAAGAATGCCCAATTCGAATTAAATGAGGCCTGTGAGCAAGGGCAGTCTGATAGCAAGGTATGAAGACTCACAGATGAGTGAGCTGGACACACAAAACTTTAATAACTGACCCCAGGGTGCCTGGGGAAGGCAGACATAAGGGACAGTATGTTGGGAGTGTGGGACAGGACAGGAGCTAAGAGGGCTGCCAGGACCTGCCATCCAAGCCGTACCCGGGGTCCTGCCAGTGTTCACTGGCTCCAGCTAGAGATTCCATCCCAGGCACTGCAGACACACATGATCCTAACAACAATAAAGGAATTCATACTTTGGGAAGGCTCCTCCCCTCCCTGCGCTGTTCAAGTGGCCAAAGCAGGTCATGAGCTCATCTGAATATGGAAACTCTGCTTAATAAGGAGTGACAATTGCTTCAAGCTTTTGAGTTCAATGTAAGAAAAACAGGTTTCCAGATCTCCTTTGGGAACTAGAAGCTTTGGCTTTTACTCCTCTCTGCTGTTTCCTCCCCGTGCCCACCCTCGTTCCCCTTCCTCTTGCCTCCTGCCTGATGAGGCTTTGGCAAGACCTCATTTCTCCAAACCAAGCCCATGGTCTGAAAAGCAAATTCAGTGAGGTCAAAAGCTCACACATACAGGTCTGTCAGCTCTGAATGGCCAGAGCACAGGTGCCACTGTGCAAATCTCCATAGCTAACCTTCAAACAAGAATCACATCCTTTGTCTGCTTCCTGCAGAAAAAGGTGGTTTTTTCCACCTTTTCTTTTTTTTTTTCCCTAAAGGGAACAAGTTCCATTTCCAATAACTGAACACTGATTAAAACCACTGTCCCTCTACCATCCCCCCCAAGTCACAAGCAGCTTATACCAAAAAACTGTCAAGAAGAAGATATCTTGTACAAGGACTTCATAACACAAGGGAAAAGAAATGAAGGAAAACTGTTGACATTAAATATTAACTCTTTCCATTCTAAAAAAATTCTCTTAAATCTTACCCTTCTCTTCCCATGCTTTTAATAAAAGTATCCCCACTGAAAATTCATTGAGATCAGTTTCAACTCTTTAGAATGACACACAGCAGTGACCCAGAGGCAATCAGCTTGCTATTTCCATAATTAAACAGGTATTTAAACAATACTTTTTATTCAGTTTGAGTTAGTCCATATGAATCCAACAGCCCGGTGTCCCTCTGTTACCTCTAACAGATTAATTCCATAATTCTATGGAATTCATGGGGTGGCGCAAGGGCAGGCAATAAGGAGCTGGACTTCAGTTCTCAGCTGACAGTTTCACCCCTAATTTTGCTGTTTGAGGCAAATCTAGATCTCCATTGGCTTAAAAAATAATTATTGACCAAGAAATGGGTGTTCAGCTCTTTAACTGAACAGGTCCTCTGAGGGAACTTGTCTTTTTATAAACCTCTTATTTTTGTTGGCAGATTGTAAAATGAATCTTACCATTAATTATCTTTGCAGCCTTGTTCAAGTGCACTGCCAGAACTGTCTATGGAGGCTGAAGACCAGCAGTTTACAAAGATCAAACCGAGGTGGTTCCTCCTCAACAGCTTCCATTGCATTGGTGTGCAAATTGTGTCTGTAATAATAAAAATAAAAAAAAACAACTTTAGCTCTCAGGGCAACAAATGCATCGGCATCAGGTGACAAACTAATCACCCCAAAGCAGACTTGTGCCTTAATTCCCCAAAGTATTGCTGTGTCAGATTGCTGCTCACAGCCACACCCTGACATGGGACTAATAATGGGGTCCCCGAGCAATGACAACGCTCTGGGTTGAGGCTGCCCCATGGGCACATCTAATTATGATGTTCTGTGAAAAAGCTATAAATACCCCTGGTCCCACAGGTGAAGCCCTCATTGCAGCAGGGTTTTTGGGCAGGTATGTAGTCTGTTCTCTCTGCCTGCCTGGGCTGGAGGGCTGTTTTGTAACCATGAGAGCCTCACAGACCTCTCCCCCAGGGAGTGTGAAACCAGCACGATTTCATAAACACAGACAGATTAAACATCAGCCAGAAGAGCACTGAAGGGGAAATGATTAAATCTGTTCAAATGAAAAAGCTACTGACAAAACCCAAAGACCACCTGAGCAAAGGAAATTCAACAGAATTCAACAAGAGAATTCAACAGAAAAGGGGGGTTACACATTAACCGAGCAACTCTGGTGGGCTGAATGGGGTCTGAGAGGAGAAGATGATCACTCTGTGAAGGGACACTATGGCAGGAAGGTATTCGAGGATAAAGGACTGTTTGAAGGATCTGTTGAAGAAGAGGGAAGGCAGAATCATAGTTAGTCTTCATGATTCTCTTAAGATCATGACATTATTGCTTTAGGCTCACAAACCCAGTCAGTGCCCCTGGTCACCATCAGCTGTCAGGGGAGGAGGGTTTTTTCTCACTTCACCAGGAATTCCAGCCTCCATCATCCACCTGGCCTTCCCATCTGCACACTCTCAAAGCTCTGAGGAATAATTTCAGAGGAAGAGAATGCATAAATAAATGAGGAAGTCCTTTATGGCAATGCCTACAAGAAAGGGAACCTGATGGGCAATCAATGAGCCCTGAGAGCCAGACATAAATCCATGACGATGGCTGCTGACTAAATACCATCCTAAAAAGAAAGAAAAGTCAGCAAAAATGCTTTCCACTAATCTATCTCTTTTACTGCTTGCTTTGTCAGAGTCTGAGGAGATGACAATCACTCACAACACAGAACTGAATAAGGAAATTATCGGCTGCCTCAGCCAACGCGCTGTGGCACACAGTTGTCAAACTCTTGCAAATTTTGTCAGAACTCTCTGAGCGAAAGTTCCTGTGGCTTCTAAAGAAGCCCAGAAAAACTCCCTTTCATTAAAAAGGGAAACCTCCCTTCTTGCTCACTCCAGCATCTCTGCGATGAATGCAGCAGGCAGCAAAGGGCGTTCCCAGGCCTGCTCCCAGCACAGGGAGCCCTCAGGGCCGTGGGCAGGGCTAATGAGGCCACCTCACCCGGGGGAGAGGACCAACCAGGGACTTTTCCACAAAAAGAAATAATGTGTACTAGGGTTAATTAGCTTCGGACAGTGACTGGATTGATGGATGCGAGCCTTTAGAGAAACTCTGGTGTGAGGCAGGGCAGAGGAGCTGTGGGACTACGGACACTGCGCTGTTGAGGCAGAGTGGAAATACAACGCAGACCCATAAAGGTGCTGGGAAACATAGAGATAACGGTACCGTGAGGAGGAACCCCGGGGAGGGGATGGAGCAGCAGTACCTCGTACATAGGAGGGTGCAGGCACGATGCCCAGCCAGACATCAGCTCAGCGCTGCTGAAGGCACCGGGGCAGCGCTCACCGCGGGCTCCCCGCCCCAGCTGTCTGAGAGCCCGGCGGTGCCGTGAAGGAGCCCCCGCCCGCCGCGTCCCCTCACAACGCGCCACTCCCCGCCGCCTACGCTACTCCCGTGCTGAGTTACGCAAGTGACGTAGCGGCATTGCCGGGCCGCACGCAGGTTGCGCAAGGGGAGCGCTATTCCCATACCGATTTACGCAGGCGGCGCAGCCTCATGACCGGGCCGCACGCAG